ACCCCTCCCCCCCCCCCCCGGGGTGTTTTTCTCACCTGTCACTATCCTATCCTACAAAAGAGGAGCCATCCCCGGCCTGCCCTTTCGACCGGCTCGCCTGGTCCTTTTTCTTCTCATCATGGCCACAACTGCTGCCCAAGACGAATACAACAGCCTCGTTGCGAAAAACACTGCTCGTGAGACGCCTGACTTGGATCATCGTGACGACCCTGAGCTTTCGGCGCAGGACGACGACGACGACGACGACCTCGACCTCGACGAAGAAACTACATACCACAACGCCAAGATCGAAGCAGCTATGCGCACGCCTACCGGTGCTTCGGAGCTCAAGCTACCCCCGGCTTCCTTTGACAGCGGCCGCTCGACCGGTGTCAAGGGTGTCATCGCCGACGCCAGAAGTTTCGAGACTGCTCGCAAGACCAAGTGGATAGACAAAGCCAAGTCCGCGCGACGGAGTATTCTTGGTATGGCCGGGATTAGTCAGAATGGAGGAGCCAAGAGTGAGAGCGAGACGGAAGACGACACCACTAGCGGGCCTGGCTCAGACGAAGACAGCTTCTTGCAACAGTGGCGAGAGAGCCGCCGGCGAGAGCTGGAGCGCGAAGCCAACAGATCCGTACGAACAAGACGGACCAGTCCGAGTGTGCGAGTATATGGCCGGTTAGACGAGGTGGATGCCTTGGGTTACCTTGATGCCATTGAGAAAGTTGGCAGAGAGACCAAGGTTGTTGTGTTTGTTTACGATCATGAGGTATGCCGTCCTCGTTGTTGCCCCCCCTTTTTTTCTTGCTTAGATTGGTCATGGATTGTTATCCCACGTCTGCTGTTATCCTGTGCTGACATATTTGGCCCAGTGTGACGTTTCTGCCGCCATCGAGTCGGCCCTCGCGCCGCTAGTCACATCCCACTCGACAATTCACTTTGTCAAAGTTCACTATGACGAGATTGAATTTGATAATGCTGCTGTCCCAGCATTGCTGGCCTACCACAATCAAGGTGATTTGTTCGCCAATCTGACGGGCATAATCGAAATGATGCCCGACGAAGAGTCATTTGGTACCAGGTCTCTCCAAACACTTTTAGAGAAGCACCAGGTGCTGTAAACTTGATTTTGATGCTTCGACAGGGGGCAATCGTGGGGTTGTATCTCCTTTCGAAGAGCTCGGTGTTACTTTCTTGACGATACCCATGTTCTTTTCTCGACATTCACGGTCTAGTCAGGTCGTGTCTGGTTTTGTGTCACGGCGTATTGTGCGGCTTGGCTAACCTTTGTACATGCTCTCGCATGTGCCCAAGGGCATCTTGTTCTTTTGTACCACCATCAATTCTTCTTTTGTTCTTATTTCCTTTCTATAATGGTTCATGTGGCTCTAAATTTATCGAGTTGAGGAGTAAGGAGATGGAAGTCAACACGAATGGCAGTAATGATTTGGCAATGGCAAGAGACGATGAAAAGGACGACCAGACATTGATGACAGTACATTTTCATGCCTCGTGAGCCGACGGGTGTGCTGGCTGGGTGATTGTGGATAGAGACATTTTGTTGGTCGCGAGACGGTCTTGTATATATGCATAGAGACGGGACTATGTGGTCTTTCCCCAAACTTGTGCTTTGCTGGCTTGGCTCACTAGTTATCTTGTAGGCGTATTTAGATTCTAAATCAGTCAACTCGGAGCTTGGAAGCCTCGGCCAAAAAACAAGCTCCAGGTGAAGTGGATCGATAAATGCCTCTCCACAGACAGCCACGTGAGGGTAGTCAGCAACGATACAATACTTTGGTGCTGTGATGCTGGAGGCTTCGCGAATACTTGGTGGTTTATTGCTCGTCGACCGAGTACACGTCACTGCTCCCAGGTGCCCAGGTGCGGGTATCTGGGTGTCTGCCCCTCCTCGCCCTCGGCTGGGGTTTTGGGCAAAAGTCGACTGGCCCCACCGTGGGCAAGGGGCCCCTGGCGCAATTGTGCATATCGGGTGCCTCATGACCCATTTCCACGGCCAGTCGATACGATGACATCGCCAGCATTGTATTGCGCTGAGACGGGCTATATTGCATCCGGTGTCTTGTTTTTTCTGGTGCCCAAATGTCTAAAATTTCTCTGTGTGCATGTGTGGCAAATGGAAGAAGAGAGCTGGAGGGGCAATATTGGCGTTGCACGGCACTCGAGAGCCTGGCGTGACTACTACCAGACGTCTTATCTGCCCCTCAGTCTGTCGCGGTCGATAAGGCTGGCGTGGAAGTGCTTCTCATGGATTGCGTCCCGGCCCACGCCTTCTTTATTTCTATATTTTGTTTTGTTTTATTTTATTTTTCATAAACAGGCACTTGGATGGTTAATTTACTTAGCCCACGTTCAAAGGTTGAGTTGGCCGTGCAATGGCGGTGCTCTGGTTCAAATGTTGTTACAGACGCAAGCTTCACCAAGTGCAAGATGCCGGGCCGAACTTGTCAATCATACCATAGCTTTGGGTGCGTAAGTAGCCAGAAATTACGTACCGAAGTAGGAAGGCGCGACCCTCAAGCGCTGCACAAGGCAGAAGCCCCCTTCGGTGGCCCTGTTGCGTCCCAGCTTCACTCTCTCTCCATCATCCTGCCCGCATCATCTCGGATTTGTTCATTTCTTTTTTTCACCCGTCTGCCAACTTGCTGGCTCGCCGCCTCCTTTTTTTAATCGTTTTTAAATCGACTCTGGATACCACCTGCTCCGAAGCCCGAGATCGCTCGTTGACCTTTCTATTTCGCACCCTGCGGTTGCCGACGAATATCAAACACGCCTTGGCCTTACCCCACCCTCTTCTGTCGTCGGCACGTCTGGGCACGTCTGGGCACGTCTGGCCGCATACCACTTCGGCCTGAGCATCAGGTGGCAGCTATCGCCGTGAATAGGCAACCGTCAGCCTCGGATTATCGGATGCACAAAAGCTCGACTTCTTTAATCTCGTGGGTGAAGTGCAAGCTAATCTGCCGTGGTCAGTTCTTCCTAATTCTTCTTCTCCGCAGTTGATCCCATTTCGTCGTCTGTTGTGCCTCGTCTGCTCTCGCCATCATCAACCCCGCCGCCTCTTTCCCGGGACGGGCCTTCTCGTCGTCATTTGCACCACCTCCTCCTTCATCTAAACTACACCTCCCCTCCGCGCCTTGTGTTACAAGCTCTTTGTATTGTCGTCTGTTCTTTTCGACGACGAGCACTGTCTCATGGCAGCCTGTGCATCTCTCTTCGTGTGAGACGGTCGAGCCCTCATACTCGTTCTTTCCGCCTCGCTATGGAAAAGCTGCCCACGACGCCTGCGTCCACGCCACCGCCTGCGAACCGTCGTGATATCCAACAACATCGTCTGACTCCAAATAGACCACGCTCCCCGCTACCTGGGCTGTCCAACTCGGAGCCGTTTCTTCGATTTCCTCGGCCACAAGGAAATAAACGTCTTGCAAACTGGATATCGACAAGCAATCCAGACATTATGCGAGCGGCCACTCCAACCGAGGACTCCGGTATGGCCGAGTCTACTTTTGAGCTGATCAGCAGCACCGATGTCGAATATCATGATGAGAATTACACCGAGTCTATATCAGAGTCTGTAGGCTCGCTAGACTTTCACCGGCCAGATGATGTACAGTCTCTGGCCGGTACTGAACAGACCTTTGACGATGAATCATTGGTAGACGAAGAAGCCGAAACCTCACCACAATCTGCTGAACATGAAGTGGGCACTGAATTAATCAACGATGAAGTAGCCTTTGCTCAGCAGGCTTCCGATGCTTCGGAATCCGAGGAGGAGGCTCGTTCACGATGCTCTTTGGACTATACTCAGCAGAGCCTGAAGACACCTTCCATCTTGACACCGGAAGCAAGCAAAATTATTGAAAGGCCCCCGGAAAATACAAACAACAAGTTCTACACACCACCTGTACGTTTTCGACATTGGATGGATATTGCCAGAGAGGGAATGTTCCGTACTTGGGAGTACGCTACGGATGCGACATCTGCGGTTCTCCCTGGCCTTTTATTTGCGGTTGTATTCAGCCTTCTAATTTCAATGCTGTATCCTTCAACTGTCGAGTTCATGAGACCTGCAGAAACTGTCGTCACTTCTACGGTTACTGCAACTGCAACACCTCTTGTAATCTATACAAAACAGTCGGCCCCAACTGCTACAGTTGCACAACAGACCACATCAGCCAAGGGCATGGGTTTAGTTGCCATAAAAGACCAAGCATCTGACGATTGGCTTTTTGGCTTGAAAAGACCGGATGTTCAATTTAGCCCTTTGGGACACGGCGCCGTTATGGTGCACATTGCTTCTCATGTGCAGAAAACATGGTTGAAGAAGAAGAACTGTGTCTCAATCACAGCTACCCGCAACAGAGAAGCCGTGGAAATGGAATTCTACCCTTCCAAAGATGGCTTTCTTGTCAAGTTTACAAAAAAGGAAGCCTTTGGCGTGGTCAAACTTCTAGTCGAGGCCACATGTCGACCTGCTGTAACCAAAGCTGTCAAGGTCCACTTTGGAAAAGGTATAATGGAAGAAGCATATGAGCGGACGAAGAATTTGGCTCACGATATTTCCGAATTGGTCCCGATAGCTGCCCAGGAAGCAGAACGGTGTATTGTCGGAGCTAAGAAGTCATTTGGGGCAGTGTCCGATACTGTAGCCAGTGGGATGGTGACAGTCTCTGATACCCTGATAGAGAGATTCAAGGCCTCCTCTGTCAGGATGGAAAGGCTGCTTTCGAATCTTCCGTCATCTTCAGTTGAGTACGCTAGAGGGGTGGTCGATAAAGTTCCACAGACTCTGGAGTCGATGTATAAGCAGGCATCGGAGGCCGTGGAATCACATAATAACATCAAGCTCGGTATCCAGGATGGTATACTTGACGCCGAATTGTACTTCCTCAGGACTCGAATTTCAGCAAAGATGTGGTGGCTCAAGGTGACCAGACAGACAGCGGAGCACGATGAGTATGGAAAGAAGGCCCAAGACTTCATGGCCAAGAGAAGGCGTTAAGGTAGAAATAAGATTCGGGGACTGCTTCGTGAAGATGGCAATGACCATGGGTTTTGTGGACGGCCGAAACGAAGTTGGTGCAAACGGAATAGCCGAAAGGGCCGGGACGGGACATTCGTCTTTGCTAGGTAGATGCTTGAACGGAACATACGGCAGGCTCTCATGCAATAGAGATGAAGAGGCCCAGGCGTTGGGATAAGGACTTTGCTTTTAAATAGGTTACGGGACGCGCTGGAGTTTTCTGGTCATGGTCGAGTGGAGGACTAGGTCCGGACACTTGTCGATTTATGGATTTTGTGGCCGTGAGCCAAATTTTCTTTTATAGCAAACAAGGATATCCATCTGACTTGGCATCAAACAGTAAAGGTGTTTTTACCATGTGCCATTATGTTGTATCAAAACTCCAACATGTTGGGTGACTACCTGTAGGTACCTACCTAGGTGCTTGGGTACAATACGTGCCTAGGGACTTGAGCAGTGTGGCCTGATAGCGTGACAAGTCCAGAATGCAATCATTTTGAGTAAGTACCCACCTAGGGAGGTAGTCGGTGCTGTACTTGGGTAAATAAGAAGCGCAACTCACTATGATACTTGCCCCGAGGTAGATAGCTACCCCGCAATGCCATCTGCTGCGCTTCATTGTCCACAATTTGTCCTTTTGTCGACATTGGGGTGAATAAAGGCGGTGAGAGCAGAAGGCGTGTTCTGCACTTGTGATGCCTTGGTATTATGTACGGTGACGGAGTGGCTGGGCTGCCTAATGGTTGGTGCCATGCCGCTGAGACCATGCAGCCCGAAATATACGTACGCAAGTAGTTGCGGGAGTAGGACTTGGCAGATGATGCCGGCTTCCCATGTTTCTGAAGTTCACGTGCCACAGTTGTATAAATAATATCTTTTAGTACGGTTGGACGACGACACGGAGGATTAAGCAAAGTCGAGTCTTTAGATGATGGGACCACCCCTGCTGTAGATGCCAGCTCTAGATGTCCCTACCTGTGCCTGACCCGCCAAGCTCAACAATAGAACACTGGCGCCGACGTGTGGCCGCAGAAATGACACGCATAATATTTGAAGGACTGGATTACACCGGAGCAGTCCCAATCAAACGTTTTGTGCTGCGGCAGGGAGTTTGCGTCGAGTTTGCCTCTGGTTTGCCTGCGGTTGCTGGCCTTGAGTTTCTTTTGTTCTCGGCCGGTCCTTCACCCCGGATTGGTGGTTGTTTTGGGCAATAGGGGCCTGGGCCGGGCGGCGAAAGAAGGCCCAACGCTACTACGCTGACCTTTGATTCTTGGTGGGAAAAGCGCAGTCTTTGTTGCTTTTTCGCGAGCACTTGAAGCCTTTGGCCTTTGCTTGTTCGCATCTCGACACCTCTTTTCGCAAAGAGTCCTTCTACACGACTCTGTTGCTGCAGACCTAACCAGGTGTTTTGTCCAGGCCTTATCTCCAGCAACTGTAGCGCGCCAGCTCCCTGTGAGTGCATTTCATATCTCATCGATAGACGGCGCACCTGTTTGGTTCTCGCTGCATGGGGTGGGGCGCAACTGCCCCAAGTGCTAAACGGGTTTGGCTGGTGGAGGGCTGGAGGGGTAATAACAAGAACATGGGCACGGGATTTTTTTTTTAAAGCCTTCCTTGTTGTGACTGACTGGACTGTTCTAGTTGGAAGCATCTGGTTTCTCCTTTTACATAGTCTCCGACCGTTTTCACCTTACGATAACCCCCCTGAAGAAGCAAACATGTCTAGCGCTGAGAACACCGAGCCCAAGGTCGAGGAGACCAAGCCCATCGAGACCACCGAGGAGGTATGGACCGCCCTTCCTGCAGACACTTGTCTTGTCCTTGTCCCGCACTGAAACCCATCGACTGTTGCCCATGGTGGCGCGTGCTGCCGGCCGTTGGGGGTTTGGTCCATGGCCGACTATGCGCCCGCGTCTTCATGTGCAGCTCTAGAAGTTGATGTTTTGGTGGGACACTGGGGAATAGTCCTCTGATGGCGCGATTATGCTACCCTTTGCTTGCGAATCTCTTTGTTCTCGTCAGATGCTGATTATATGATGGCTAGGCTACTGGTTCCGCTTCCGACCCCGCCCCTGCTGCTGCCGATGAGAAGCCGGTAACCTCGTCGGCCGTTTTCTCCATGTTTGGAGGCGGCGCGAAGAAGGAGAAGAAGGAGGAGGATGAGGACCGTGGCGACACTTCTGGTAGCGCCAAGGCCCAGCGAGAAGCTGCCAAGGCTGAGGCTGGCGAGGTACGTTGTTTGTCTGTTTGTTTTCCACGCGCGAATCTCGGGATGATGGTTATGTGATGATGATGACTCGGGAAGTGCTTGGACCGAGTTGGCGGTCCTGAATGGCGGATGCACGGGAGTAGACGACTGACCTGTTAACCGCTGCAGGACGAGCCCCCTGAGAGCGAGGATGTCCACTTTGAGCCCGTCATCAAGCTCACCGAAAAGGTTGAGACCAAGACCAACGAGGAGTCCGAGGAGCAGCTCTTCAAAATGCGCGCAAAGCTGTTCAAGTTCTCCAAGGAATCTAGCGAATGGAAGGAGCGAGGAACTGGTGATGTTCGCCTGCTCAAGCACAAGGAGAACGGCAAGACCAGATTGGTTATGCGACGCGACAAGACTCTCAAGGTCTGCGCTAACCACTACAGTAAGTTTCTTGTCCCCCCTAACCGCTATGGATGCTGTGAACGCTGGGAATATGCGTGGATGACGGGGGTTATTCAAGAATCAGAGTGACTGACCCTTTTGTGCGTTAGTCGTGCCCGAGATGAAGCTTTCTCCCAACGTTGGTTCTGACCGCAGCTGGGTATGGAATGCCGCTGCCGATGTCAGTGAGGGCGAACCCGAGGCTTGTACTCTTGCCATTCGCTTCGCCAACTCTGAGAGTGAGTCTTGCACCACATTACTTTTGTACGCGAGCGACCCTGTACTGATGCGCATGTTGTAGACGCCAATCTCTTCAAGGATGCTTTCTTGAAGGCCCAGAAGGAGAATGAGGTGATTTTCGGCAAGGAAGAGGGATCGACTACCAAGTCTGAATAAGTGTCCAGACACTTGGCCATGCAGAAATCGTCACGGGCTCTTGCAGTCCATGAACCGCGAAGAGCTGCTGCTCCCTGCCACCAACCTGACATCACTGCCCTCCCCCCTTTAACCCTTACCCCATCGTCACATCAGCGTTCAGTGTCATCCCAGCAGCGAAAATATTGCATCCTTGGAACCAACGCCCCCAATAATGAAGCCAACCCGAAAAAAAAAAAGAAGAAAAAAAACTACAGACTCTCTATTTTTTTTTCTTAAAAAAATTCACTGGATTGAGAACCATTCGGAAAGAAGAAGATGACGAAGACGGCAATGAATGAAATGAAAAACGGAGTAGTTGAATGGACAATTCATGGGTTGAGGAACACAGAATGCGGGCGGGAATTGGGACCACCCAAGCGGTGCAAATTTTTCCCCCTCCTAAGCAAGGGTCGCAAATGGTAGATAGCATTTCCGAAGCATCAGGTCACAACACAAAGTAATAAATGCAATGTCAAATGGAAAACGAGATGATTGTGAGTAAGGGTGACGAGATGTCGGGGCGCATGCGTAGGGTTGAATGTCAGGGTACTTCTACAGTCGGCAGCGAGAGCAGACACAGCAGAGGCCTTGGTCCATGTACACATACATACATACCTACCCCTTTAGCGCGCCAATACTGGAGCATGGGCCCGAGCGCATGTCAACATTGAAGGCTGGGCACGCCAGGCGCCAGGCAGGGCAGGCTAACCAGAGCCAAGGATTGAGCACCTAAGCACTTGAGGCTAGGCCTTGACATGCGCACAAAGCTGTCAATGGACATGGTTTGATCCATTATTAGCCAGCCATGAATGCGCCCAATGAACATTGAAGCCGTGCCAGACCCTCTGCCCCAGGCGCCCGCCAGGCAGCTCGCCCCAGCACCGGCGCCCGCACCAACTCGACCAGAACTGTTCGACCGCTCGCCGCTCGACTTGCTCGTCCACTTGAGCAAGTCGACCAGACGCCTTCCTGTCGCCAGCCCGAACCTCCGACTCCCGTTCCTCCACCTCGTGTCGCATCGCATCCTCGGACGTCTTCGCTCCATCGCAATTGACGGCCCTACCAGATCTATCCTATAATACCGGACGCGGATTTCCTCTGTCGACTCATCCCTTGACCGGACCGCGGCGCCCACCAATTTTCGGTTGTTTTAATTTTTCCTTAACTTGCCCGTTCCCTTCTGTCTGTCTTTCAAACGTCATTACTACGGTCCGAGTTGTGTTGTTCATTTTTTTTTTTTTTGGCCTCCTCTGGTCCCTTTTTGTTTCCGTCCTTTTTGTGATACTCGATACTCGACGCAGAAAGAGAAGGGAGAAGCAGCGAAACGGGGAATCGGAACCGGAAGCCATTTCAAACGGTGTCGAATTTTTATTTTATTTTATTTCTTTTTAATTCTGCTTCAAGGAGGACGGAGATCGACCCCGGACAGCCGCCAACATGCTGGTAGAGGTACGTTGATGATTTTGAAACCCCCTTCACCTCCGGGCGGCGGCATCGGTCGTCTGCAGTTGCTAGTTGCTTTGCACTCCCCCAAATACACCTTTTGCCCTGCCATGGTACCCCGTGGGCCCCGTCTTGTCTTGTCGCTGGCCAGCGTGCTGTTTAAATGGACGGGGAGATTGGGCGAGGCGAGGGCGGAGGGAGGACAAGGCAGTCGCGGGGAGCAGCGGATGTTGGTGTCAACGAAGCATGGCGAGGGCTGGCTCCTTGGAACTCGGCCTCGGACGAAGAAGCACAACGTTGCGAGCGAGCAAGAGCCCATTGTTCACTGTCGGCTGTAAAGGGCTGTCAAGCGGCTACTCTGTCTTGCTCGACAGCCGGCCGATAGCGCATCTGGATGCGTGCCTGGACGGCAGGACTCGAACAGCCTTTGCCTGTGTTTATTCTCGGGGGGGCCATGAGCTACCCGCACTCGTGCTCGTGCTTGTGCTTGTGCTTGGGCTGCTCACGATTTGACTTTTGCAATTCCGGCTCTTGTTCATCTCTGTGCCCGTCTTGCGGTCCCGTCCCGCCTCGTCGATGCTTCTATTTTGCTTGCGAGGAGCTTTGCGCTTTATCGCTGTCCCCATTGCCCTTGCCGCCGTCTTTTTCTTTTCGTATTTCTCTTATTCACATCGCGGGAATCCTTTTACAACGAGTCTTTTTTTTTTGTTCTTCACCATCTATATCCAGAGCTGCCGAAACGAACGAGGAGAAAGCAGCGTGGCCTCGCCATCGACGGCAAACACCATTCTACCACGATGCCGCCTCGGACGAGGAAGAATGCTAACGATCGGCAGAGGAAAGTTAAAGTCGTCACCGAACAGCACATCATGTAAGCAACCTGCCACGATTTTTTTTGTTTTAAGACGTTTACCTACTTCCCCCCTTTTCGAAACCGACGAATGGACGAGATCAAAAATTGAAAAAAAAAAAAAAATTGTGATATTTATTTTTGCCGCGAGTCTGCATGCTGTGAGCTACAGACCATGCATACTGCAGATATGGCGAAACAAAAGGAAGGACGAAACTGCTTCAAGGAGGATTCTTTTGTTTGACAATTCCTCTGAAAAGATGCTAATTGTGAGTTGCGTGATAGCGACAAGCCGTCCCCAGTTGCCGAGTTTCCTATGCGAGAATGGAGCTTGAAATTGCACTTATTGGATGAAGAAGGCAACGAGAGGCCTGCCGATGTGTTTACCAAGGTTGTCTACAACCTACATCCCACCTTTGAGAACCCCACTCAGAGTGAGTTGAAACCCGGCTACCGTTCTACCTGGGCCTTTTATTTTTTAGCCAAGATTAGAGCATGCGCTAACCATGTGTGCATCATTTGCCTCCAGCCTTCACCAAGCCTCCATTCCTCTGCAGCAACGAGGGTTGGGGTGAGTTCGAAATCAGTATCGACTGCTACACGACTGAAAAGACGAAGCTGGCCCCCATTATCCATGACCTGAATTTCCTGCAGGAGAAATATGAGGCCACACACACAGTCACCTTCAAGAACCCGTCGCAAGCTCTGCAGGAACGTCTGCGCGAAACTGGTCCTTTGCCCAACGACGACGACCGTCAGAAGAAGAAGACGGTTGCCAGTAAGAAGGGAGGTCAAAAGTACGACTACGAGAAGATCGCCGAGGCACTGGAAAAGCTTGACGAGGAGGACCTGCTGCGTGTTATTCAACTGATTAATGAGAACAAAGGTCCGGATACCTACATAAGGAGTGATGTGGAAGGTAAGTTTTTGGCCGCCCCGCTGCTTTATTCCGTCCGCGCCGGGGAATGTCTTCGGAGTTGTTGATGTTTGAAATGCGTATGAGCTAATAGTCGATAACCTTGCTGAAGCCGGAGAGTTCTCAATTGACCTGTATACCATGCCGGATATGCTGACGACAAAATTGTGGGAGCACCTGGTATGTTGATACCCTTGAAACCTTGGACCCCCGCCCCTCTTGTTCACCGTTGGTTGAATGCAGAAAAGATATCACGAGTTCTGACGGATGCCACAGTCAAAGAAGGGATTGGTTAATTAATCTTCTTTCCTATATTTTGCCTCGGGGCCTCCCAGCAAAAGCTTGGGGCTGCCCTTGGTGCAGGCATGAAAAAACTACGAGGAGTCTAGGGGGGAAGGGACGGCGGGCATACCAGGCCACGGGTTGCTACGCCAGGGTTGATAATCTCAGACCAAGTCTCGTTCCTCAATGGACTTTTATCCGGCAACCACACAGGATGTAGCTTGATTCTTCAATATAGGGATACAAGTGGGTAAGAAACCTTGGTGGAAGGGAAATGGACAGGGGTTTCTCAGTGTATGGAGTAGAAGGGAGTGAAAGGATTGTTCTTTTATGTTCTTTTATTATTATTTTTCTTTTAAAAAAAGAAATTCTTGTTAGGTTCTCGTAAAAGTGGGCTGGGAATGAATAGTCTTTTTTAAAACCAATCTCAACTCGATGTCATGATTGCAACACGAGTGTTGGCCCGGAGTGGGTGGTCGTGTAGGCGATTCCGCGAATGAATACCTAGTAGTTGTCTGCGTATTATCCCCCGGTTGACCTGTCTTCACCTTGGTTGTGGGAACGGAGTGGCGGATGGAATTATATTCCCGGCAATATACATGCGTGTGTACATGCGCGTCTATGGTTTACTCGTTGGAACTGTATTGCTGAATGCTCATCCATGGCGCTGATTTACACGAACAGGGTGCAAATGTCTCCTCCCCGGGCTGAAGATTGCCGTGGTTTGTCTGACTTGCGGCGGAGGCTGGGAAATTCTACGAATGGCGCGTGCTGGCTTTTGTAGGGCTGAGCAGGGGATCGTGGGCTCGACGTGGGCTCGACGTGGGCTCGACCATGCTGCGGCGGGAGAGACGGAACTGGTCGGATCTACAAGGGCGATTGGCACGTTGCCGCCAACACACGGGTCAGCTGGTCCTACCAGACGCATCAAATCTTGGTCCAAAGGCCACAAAAGTCGCAACATTAGGAATAGCTCCCGCAGGACTAAACATGGCTGCTCACCCCAGTTCCCGAAACAGACGATTCAAGGAAAATAAAATATATGCCATCAGCAGTTCAATCCAATACACTGCCGAGCCGCACCAATCAACCATTTTTAACCACAGAATGTATAATTGACGGTGCAACATTGCCGACTTATACTCACGGGACTAAAGGCTTCTCAGTATTAAGGAGTCTGAAACTCGGTCAACTATCAACAGGCATTGGCCTGGTATAGCCTTTTATGAGCAACTACGGAGTACCAAATTCAAATTATACCGCTTGGCGAGGACACCGAGATCTCTCATCGACGCTGTAAATGGAGAGACTACGACACTCGCCTTCTTGAACAACCCGAGAGGATCGTTGGTCCCGCCTGCAACGTAGGCAGAATCTGCAAGTCCACATTTCAGTTGCATCGCCAGTCTCCATGGAAATAGGATCCATGCACCTCGCCGAGAAGAGGACCAGACCGAAACAAAGATCCCTTGCCGCGGAGGCGGAGTCCGCAATGGCAATGATGGCACGGAGCATGTACATACAGCAAGTACCTACCTGGTAGGTATGATTGCGAAGACGAGGAATTTTGACCACACACATCTCTGATGCCCTTGCAAGCCACGAGCACGCTGGACATTCCCGGGAGCGTCTCGAGCGACAGCCAGACGCACACCATACTGGTTGTCTACGCCTTCTTTTGCAGCCAACGTGACCTTCTAGACCCATCGTAATCCATTCCGCCCATGTCAAGCCCGGCTTGGAACTGCCATGTTCTTTTTGCCATTGGCCATGACGTGGGGCTTGATTGGCTGGCTAATAAGTAGGCAGCGAATTGCTCATTGTCGTTGGTGAGCTCCGGTGTGGTGGCAAAGCCAATCAATGTCGGGATACGGAGCATTCGAGACCAAGAAAGACACTTTGTAGTCTGAAGAGAAGAAAAAAAACTTTCCCCCTTCTCGAAGCATGTGCGAAATCTCTACTGGAATTGGATAGACTGAGTGACCCGGTGGTGAAGGACACAACTGTCCAAAATCGGCCGCGTCAAGTGACTGGGTGATCTCACCTTGATACGCCCTACATATTGTTTCCACCGGACTCGTGCATCAGGAACGACAAGAGGCTGCAACGGCGCCGGAGGAGAACGGCCGTACGAGGCATCTGAGCCGGCTTGGTGTGTATGCTGGGGGATATCCTTACGACATGGAACGTATGTTAAGCAGGCGTTGACTTGGGTTTTGACGGGTTCATAAGTGGCAGAAGGCTCCGTACCGTAGAGGTCAGTCATGGTAATCGTCGACCGCGTCAACCAGTCTCTCCCCGTGAACTTGACTTCCGGGAGCAGAAGGGGGGGCTGGACTCAATGGGACCTGCAAAAGTACGCCGTCTGGGGCTACTTTGTACGTAAGACCAATGTCTGGTGTTGATCAAAAGGGGTAAGTCAGCCCAAGTAAGGTGGAAGAAGAGCAAAGAAAGAAAAACGTTTTTCTTTTTCACTCTGACGCCCGAGTCAAAAGATACCTAGAGTGACTACGCCAGGAACGCCGGGGCCGTACGTACTGGATACATACATATGGTTGAAGGCCATCCGGCTAATTTCAGAAACGCCGGCAGCTCCTTCTCCCGCTGTTCTGTCCTTCCTTCCTTTTTCCACAACGCCCACTTAAACCCCAAAGTCCGGGGAACAACAACCACCTGGACCTTCCTAGTTCTTGACATTCAGGGCTGTGAGGGGGTCTGAGCTCCCCTACGCAGAAACTAATCAGACCAAGGTTGAGACTTTCCAAGATTGCACACTCACCATCTGGACTTGTTTGACGTTTGAATGCCGGGCCTTCACACCTGAACCACCTGAACGCTTTCGCAGTCCGTCCATGCCAGGGGACGGGGAAATCTGCAGCCCAGCAGTCACATCGCATGCGTGGTGTTGCAACTTGCGTCTCATACCAAACTTATATTTTGGCCGGCTGCCAAGTATTGCGTTCGCGGTGCCCAGAAAACCAGCGACGGCTGGCCCAGCCCGCGGCACCAACTCGCCGCACGCACACCAGGAACCTTTGGCAGCCCTAGGTTTAACTTGCTGGCTGACGACGTGAGGAGACCTGCCTCGAAGCCGACTGGGTGAGGGGACACCGACGTGCTCTCGACATGCTCTCGATACTGACCCCGCTTGCTCTCGCCTAGAAAGACACCCAGAGACGAGACGACACCCAGGGCTGACTCCACCCACTCAACCCACTCCACCCACTTCTTCACCCTCTTCCTCGCCCACTACACACCTGAGCCCGCTGCTCGCGGCAACCGGAAACGATCGATCTGGCTTGGGAACAGCTACTGGTCGCTGCCCACTCATTTAACTGCCCGCCTTTTGCTGACCAGACACTTTCCTTTTTTTTTTGCCCACGCTGATAACGCCCGAGACGGGGACGCTGACCACTGACGCTTCTCCGCGGCCTTGCGCGGCCCTTCGACTGCGCTTCCACTGACAATCCGCCGCAAACCGAAGTTCCAACAACAACGCACTGTCACAACGTCACAGAGCCTTATTGCTGCCTCGCCCGGCATGGCCCAACCTCAGTTCGGTGCTGGCACTTCTGCGTCAAGCCCCAGTGTCTCTGCGACGCCTGGTGCCCGCCAGCAATCGCATCAGACCGGGCCGTCGTCGGGAGCTGGAGACACACCAGGCCAGCCTCAGCAACAGCAGAAGCACCAGTCGTCGTCTCAGGCGGCTGGCCACCAATCCTCAGCCCAGAATCCTCAACACAAGCGCGTTTACCAGGCCTGTATTCCATGCCGCCGCCGCAAAGTGCGGTGCGACCTAGGCAGCGTCGACAACCCTCATGACCCGCCATGCGTGCGCTGCCGCCGTGAGAGCAAAGAATGTTTCTTCTCCGCCACTCGCCGGAAACGAAAGACCGATGACGATGAAGGCAGCGACGTCGACGAGTACATCATTCGAAACGGACGTAAAAGGCTCCATGCCGGTGAAAGCCCACCACCTCGTCTCGACCCTCGCTTCTACAGCGAAGTCCCGCTCACTCCCGGCGGCTCTCATGGCCGCAGCCATCCTCTGCGCCGACCCGACGGGAGCAAGCCGAGGCAGCGCAGAGATTCCGAGCTCGATGGTGACGGCGATGCCAATCTGGAAAACCTCGAGGCCCAGACAGCTATGCGCCGTGCCGTGTACAACCCCCATGACGCGCTAGACCTACTCTACAAGGCTGCAACCGATAGGTCTGTTGTCGAGTCGTCTGGCAAGATGGTGAACAGTGCTGACTTGAGTAGTCCCGCTGCGAACAACCATGGACGTGAGGAAAGCATCGCTTCGGCAACTACAGCACCAACCCACCAGCCCACGCCACAGGACACCGCGAATAGAGACATCCCGAGACCGAGATCTATGTCCGCCGCGAAGCCCGAGGCAGAACTTCATGTACCCCAGCGCCAGTTTCAAGATACCGCACCGCAACAGACACAGCAACGGTCTGTGGATCCTGTTCTTGCGCAGCAACCAGCTTTGAGAGCTCAACCTGGATACGCAGAGGCCTTGCGTGCTTGGTCACGGTTCCGTTTTGTTAGAGCTGGTTGGTTCACTGCTCAAGAAGCTATAGAGTATATTGACTAGTAGGCCTACCACGATCGGCCAGATAGAGCCATCTGACTACAAGTTTGGGGATCTGTCCAGTATTTGCTAACCTCCCCGTCACTTACAGCTATTACAAGTACCTGTCACCCATGACACCCATTTCACCACCAACCTTCAGCGACCCCGCCTCCCATCTCACGCTCCTTACCGAAGAACCAATCCTCACCGTTACCCTTCTTACAATCTCCTCGAGATATCGTCAAATGCCCGGGACTGGAGGTCACTGTCGTTCGCATGCCATTCCAGAGCAGCTTTGGACCTACCTTCGAGGAATGATTGAGCGTTGTCTGTGGGGTCAAGAAGCCTTCGGTGGCGGGTTCTGTGGCTCTGGTGGCCCTGGTTCTTCGTCAATGATTATGGAGGAGACGGAAACAAGCAGCACTGCGCCTTGGCGCGGCATGAGAAAAGGCAGTCTGCGAACCCTGGGAACCATTGAATCGCTGCTGATTTTGACCGAGTGGCACCCCCGTGCCTTACACTTCCCTCCTCAAGAAGCCACCGACGAGCTCATGCTTCCTGATTACAACATTGGGCCGACGGCTTCGTCTGACGACCCAAGCAGAAACGTAGGTGCTGGCTTTGGGGGTAAAAGAATAGAGAGCTGGCTCGAGCCGGCTTGGAGGAGTGATCGCATGTGCTGGATGCTTCTCAGTACTGCTATGGGTCTTGGGTACGAGCTGGGTGTCTTTGATGACATTGATGAGATGCTCAAGGACGATACAATTACGCGCCCAGAGTACATGGACGAAACCTACAGAACGAGAGCCAACCGTATCAAGCGCTTGTTACTCATTTACACCTCCCAGCTGGCTGGTCGGTTGGGCTGGACAAGCATGACTCCAGAACACCTTCGCAAAGCTGACCCAGCAGTGGCAAGACGGCGCACCGCAACCAACGAAGGAAACACCCCGAGCACATCCTCCATGGCGAACGGTTTCAACTACGTGCCGGATCTAGAACTTGATGATCAAATCATCCACTGTTGGGCCGGAATCAGTAACGCTATGCATGTTGGTAATGAAAAACTGTTTCGCTCCAGAAAATACACCACGGAAATCATCCAGTCAGGACGATATGTGGAGCTACTTCGAGAGTACAGTCCTTTACTGAAGGACTGGTATCGGGAATTTGAACTTTTCCGCCTCCCTCAGTTTATCAGGCACATCCTTACCATTGAGTACGAGTATGTACGTATTTACGTCAATTCTCTGTCCCTCCAGGCGGTGGTAGAGCGATGCACCAACAATGCCGGACAAAATGCGAACGGCCACGGTGCCGATGGACAGGCCACAAATGGACCGACCCAATTGTCCCCGCAGACAATGATAAACTATGGCAAGTTGCCACTGGGACAACTTGGTGGCTTCACGATTAATGATCAAGAATACGTCCGAGAGGTCGTTGACGGGTGTCGGAACTTGCTGCGCACCGTGGTCGAGGGCCTTCTGCCAGGCGGCTACCTGAAGCATGCTCCAGTCCGAACTTATTTTCGTATCATCAGTGGAGCTATGTTCTTGCTAAAGACATTTGCTTTGGGTGCCCCGCGATCAGATGTAAAGATCAGCATTGAACTTATGGATGCTACCGTGGAAGCGCTCCGAAACTGTGTTGTAGACGATGTCCATTTAGGCATCCGGTTTGCCGATCTCCTCGAGACACTGACAAGTCGACTAAGAAATCGTTTTATCCAGGCGCCGACTATGCAGCAGGGTTCCGGCAAGGATCAAACTCCACTGCCCGAAGGCCCTATGCCTGGTGTTGCGGCGGCCGGCGGCCAGGGCGACCATAGTGCAAGCTGGGTGGGCCGACATGCCCAGAAATTGCGAGAAGGCCTCACTGGACAATGTAAGTACCAATCATTTCCTTGGATGAGGATGCGAGTATTACAAGGCTTTGAACTGACTGTAGGTGTTTTCCTTGGCAGATCGTCCCGCTTCCCCCAGCGTCGAGGGCAACAATATCTCAGCTACGCCATTCGACTTGTCCGCCGGCAACTTTCCTTATCCTAGCGCGTCGTCTATAGGACCTTCAACACCAGCAGCGCATGTCGAAAACAATGGAGCTGCTCCTTCCAATGGCGTGGAAATGCAACTTTTCGAGGGCTGGGACAACCCAGGCAATGAAATGTGGTACCTACCACCGGGTCCGGCCTTTTTTCAAAACATGGGAGACAGCTCCGTTGCTATGACGGCCGAAGGTGTCAATGTTGGCGGATTGGATCTGTTGGAGTACATGGCAATGGACCCAGTGCAATTTTCAAGCATTGACGGACCCGGTTCGGCGAATGGGAATGCCGGGACGCAGGGCTAAAATACTCGGGCCTCACAGCGATCTAACTAAAAAGCTACAATTCACAAGAGAGAAGAACACACCTCGCTGGTGTTTGGTAATGGGAAATGATTTGATGAGAGCGATGGCAATCGACGCAATGGTTGCAATCAACCAGTTATGACTTTTGGTAATTGTTTGACTCTCCTTTGTTCATCCTTCTTTTTCTTGTTCTAAATATGGGTTTACTTTTACAAGCGGCGGTTTCTCATTGTGCCACATTTTACAGCGAATTTGGCGAAAAGGGTCGGGGAAAAAAAATTGTTCGTCATTACTCTTACGGTGTTTGGGGCTGCTTTATTTCTGGTGTTGCCGTGTGAGTTGGGTTCTGGCCCGTCTTTGGAGGCTCAAATGTCGGTTTAGTCTGATTTGGTAGTTTCGTCTAGGGGAGGGGAACGCATACAATCTTCTGATTTACAGTATCCTTCACATATGTTATCATTTCAACAAGCATAGAGGTGTGAGTCGTCAAGGAGCCATGCTCGTGCCATGACGTGGGTTGGGGGCAAGCAATACTGCTGCGAGAGAGATGTTTGCTGAAGGATAATGGGTCGACTGTTGTAGCTTGATAAGTAGAAGCTCAATCAAGACAGACAACTTGACATAGGCGGACGGGCAGGCAGGCATTGTCGTGGAACTTGTATTCAAGTATGGTGGGTATTCTAAAGAGGATACGCAAAACTGCCACTATACTTTGGTTCCCCTGGCGTCAGCCGAATCATGTCCACGCACACCGGCTAAAAGTACTCGATACAACAGCTCCATTCCATGCTTCTTGCTCCTTTTCTTCCCACCTTCCCAGTAGCCGTGTACACTGGTCCAGTCCGGAATATCACCCCTGCATCGGACAGATGAAGCGGCAACTTGTGCACTAGAATAGACACTAAATAAAAAATAGGGAGGAAGATTCTGACACAAAAGTACGAAAGTTGCGGCCGCATCCTCTCGACTCTGACAACTAGGCTACATGGCTGATATGGCTTAATTAAATGGAAGATCAATCGCTTCGCTCTTCGATAGAATGATTAAAGAATGCTGTTGCAGTAAGAAAAGAGGAAGAGCAAGCAGCACAAATAACCCGAAAGCAAAACAAAAAAAAAATCTTTTCTGTTTCTCCCCAAGACAGCAGACGGTTGCCCGAAAATAAGAAAGCCGTGGTATTCTTTTGAGCCAGAAGAAGATGACAAGGAACAAAAGAGAAGCATGCGAGACAGAGACTGTGTGAAGGTTGGGATGGCAAAATGCTGGCATATCGTTGGAGGGCGTGGCGTTGCATCATATTGGTACACGATGCTATTGTGATGTGCGAGTGGAAACAAAACAGAAAGCAAGTGACCACCGGAGCAAAATGGATGGGGTATTTTGAATCAAGGAAAGAAAGGACAAGGAATAGAGCGAAACAAGAGAACATGGGTGTATGCACAAATGCTCAAAGTGCATAGGTGGTACCACGAGTAGCATGGGCTTCTTGCAGGACTAGAGAAGATGTCAATTTCCATGTCGTTAGGTTTTGGCAGAAACAGCACGTCAAGATTCGTCACAACTTACTTTGCAGGACTCTCAGTTGTCCAGCGCGGTCCTCGCACGCTACCTGAATGCCTGAACCCTCGATGAGATCCAGAACCACGCTATTCGGGAGTTCTTGTACCTCCACATCCGGAGTGTACGGGGCGCGGAAGTCACTGAGATGATATCGCTTCGTGCCTTGCGCAGGTCGGCCGTTTTGGGCAGGCAAGGCGCTCAGAATCAGGTACCCCTGAGAATCGAGGCACATGTTTCGGCGTTTCCAGAGTAAATTGTCCGGGAATTGAACATTGACGTCGCCCATGTAAGATACAATAGTCGGGGACCCAGTAGTTGACGGGCGCGATTGAACAGGTTCTCGGGTCTCCTCCTTTGTCGTCGATGGTGATGTAACTAACAGGTTGTTCTTGGAACGGGATCCTGAGAGCTGAGAGAGACGGTGCATGAACCGGCTAGCTCGAGAGAGCTTCTTGTCCCCATTGGTCGACTTAGCATCGTCTCCAGATCCCGAGTCTGCAGGCGACAAGACGACGTCACGTTCCCTACTAAAAGACGACCGACGGCTGCTAATTGAAAGACGAGGAGAGAAGGTAGCGCTCCCATGCATTGTATCTGGCCGTGTAGGCGAGCAGGCAGGGTTGCTGCCGTCTGAAGTCACCGACTTGCGTCTTTCCTTCCTGAAGCCCTTGACAATGCTGAGCGACGATTGTCGAGGCTTGCCCGACTTCCCATGTTCGTGGGTTTCAGTTGTGTGTTCAGATGCCGGTTCCGTGGTTGGGTAGTCTTTTCCTGGAGAGGCCGCCTGGTGGTCTACTAGAAGCGGTGACTGTTTCAACTCTAGAGGGTTGTATTCAGATGGATCTCTAGAAGTCTCGAAGCCCATCTGCACCGGTTGATTAGGATCACGAATGATGCGTGCGGTAACAGAGACAGATTCTGGTCGGCCGCGGCCGGAGGCCGCAGTAGGAACTGCAAGGTTTCGCGATCCAGGTGCTGATTCAAACATGGATAAACGGCTGCTTACTGAGCCTGATCGTCCCAGACGATTGTGTCTTCCTCCCTCTGGTGAGTAATCCACTGTTCGCTCCGGGGATGGAGGAGTCGAATTTCGGAATGAATTTGCTCTGTCCATGACGGACGGTGATCTAGATGGCTCGCGCCTCTTCACGGCGAAAAAAGTTGATGAGGGTCTTTCTCTCGCCGGAGGCGCCAGAGCATCTGTCGAGGGTGCAGAGCGCTGTTCAAGTGCCTTGATTCGCTCAGAGATGCCTGAGCCAATATTGGACTTCTTGGCCAGGTTGCCCCCGTGTTGTTTCTGAGCGATGTGGTTCAAGTAGGCGGCACTAGAACTCATGGACCGCGCTGAGGATTGGCTGACATCGGATGGAAGAACCAGATTGCCACGGACGGGGTTCGATACAGTCCTAACTGTGTAGCTGTTTTGTGCTTTGCTAGGACTTGGGGGAAAGCTAGGGGTGAGGGGCGTCTTGATAACTGTTGCCGACGTCGCCTCCTCAACTACCGCGCTCTGTATTTCATCCTCGAAATTCTCCTCCATTTTCAAGTTTGCTGTCTGTATAGGCAATATCTGCATCTCGCGCTTGGCCTGCTTCTCCTCCCGAGCCAAGTGGACCTCGTCATCATCATTCGCCTTCTTCCCAGTTTCTACTATGTTATCGTTTTCAGTGAGAGTTTGCCCATCTTCTTCGAGATTGCGGGTACCATTTGCGGAGACTTTGGAAAGCGGCAATGCATTGTCCTCTAGGCTGATCTTCTCGTCGTAGTTTTTATCGCCATCCGGTGCGGAGACATCCTCGGAATCGCGCGAGGATTCTGCAATCAGAGCTGCAGTACTATCAGTACCTCGCCCCAAATTCTTCATCGTATCCAAAGGCTCCTGGACAGTATGCTCATCAACCGTCACTCCCGCATCAGACTTGGGTTCACCATCAGTTGGGCCATCGATAATGTGTGTTGTTTCTTCGAGGTTACCGCGAACAGAATCATGAGGATGCTTCTCCTTAGTTTCTGATGACTGCTCCTCCTCTTTGGCGTGTACTGTCTCATCGGTCGACTCTGAGATGGATGAAGCTTTCGTGGAATGGCCCGCATCAGAAGACCCAACCAGAGGGCTTGCTGGGTGGGAGTCGGAAGGGGCGAGGTCTGAATTCTGGTCATTTGGAGCCACAGAGGTCGCAGTTTCCAGCATGATACCAGAGTCGTCCTTGTTTAATGAAAGGCGCCTGTCCGTTTCGGAAAGGGGATCGGAACATGATATAGCCTCGTCTTGCCCCGGTGTGGCATCATCCACGACACTCTTAAGCTCCTCGCCGTCGGCTGGAACTGCTTCGGACGACGGCAGCATGCTCATTTTCTTCTTTTGATCTCGCAACTGTTTGGCCTTCATCAACCGGGCCTTCTCACGGCTTATTGTCGGTTTCTTGGGTGTAGATCCAGGCAAGGGTAATGAGTCAACAGACAAGCCCGAACTAGTAACTGGCCTTTCCTGACCATCATCAAAAGTCGGATTTACAGCCACTGAAAAGTTGGGGCTTGCAAGCTCCTCATGTGGGGATGATAAAGAATTTTGTCGGTCCCTGCTCTTTCCCTTCTTACCACCTTTTCCAAACATCTTGAACCCAGCAGGAATAGCAGATACAGGCCGGAAATTGCCAGCGGTTTGGGGTCGACCATTGGCATCAACAGAAGGGCGTGGACCGAGCTTCACCTTTGGTTTGCCGTACGGGTATGACCCGTAAGTATAGACGTCGCTCTCGGGAGAAGTGGGACGTTCATCCGCACCAACAAACTGAGGCAGCTCGGACGTTGTCGCTGCAGAAAACTTGCTGTTCTCAGGGGAGGATGCGAGCTCCGAGTTAAGCGTGACAGGTTCGGATATTGACAGTCGACCGGTAAGAGACTCTGGCCGACTTCCGTCGGCGTCTTGCACAGACTGACGTTTTGTGGCTCGTTGCTCTTCCTCTTCCTCCTCTGTGATTTCCATAAGTCGTCTCCGACGCAGAGAGCTGGTTGATGACGAGGTCGAGCAGGATGCGGTGTGCAAGGAGCATGCTGCGGAAAGCTTCGAGTCTTTCAATTCGGCAGCAGTGGTTATTTCGAAGGTTGTGTCATACGGTGAGAATCTTTCGCAGACAGCGTTGAAATGAACCGCAACGCGAGCTAGAGAAGGCGGAAAGTAGCGTCGTCAGTTTGAATTCGATGGTGTGAGAAACACGTCATACTCTGGCCAGACAGCGGGTCGTCTGACACTGTAGCTAGCTATATGATGGAAATGCACATACCTTGAATAATCCTTGAGCAGTCCTCTGGCAGATACTTGATAATCACACTCCGCCTCCGGTACTTTAGAAAGCCATACAATGGGCTCGTCTCCTCATATCCGGCAATAGCATTGCGTACCTCAACTATTCCGCCATTTCCTCGACTAAGCACTTCGA